CCCATCACGATTACTAGGACAACTTAATGTAGCAGTTGTAATGCACCCATCAAAAGTTGTCTTAGTAATAATGTAGCAGTTGTAATGCATCCATCACAAGTTGTCCTAGTAATAATGTAGCAGTTGTGAAATGTCCAGTAACAAAATGTCTGTATCCCTTTCTTATTTCATTTAGAAAATAAAAGTTAAATCAGCAGTGTTTATTTTTGTTACATGTGTTTTAATTTGATTACAGCGAGACCATAAAGGCCAGTATCTCTTGGATTATGTGTGTGAATATTAGTGTATATTAGCAGTGTTTATTTTTGTTACATGTGTTTTAATTTGATTACAGCGAGACCATAAAGGCCAGTATCTCTTGGATTATGTGTGTGAATCTTTGAATCTGGTTGAAAAAGACTATTTTGGACTTCGCTATGTAGATCACAACAAGCAACGAGTAAGTACTAATTAACATCCTGCTTGTACACTTAAAACTTTGAAACAAGTAACATGTACCACATTATCTCTGAGTGGATAGACCATAATGTTTAAAATGTGTTTTCTTATTGAGAAGTGTAAAGTTTTGTACTTGTGGGTGTGGAAATTTGTAAAGAGCTTGCTTCTTGTTTGATTGTAGCAATAATGTTTTGTAAAAAAAGAGAAGGATTTATGCATTTTTATTTATAACACCCCAAATTTCTCTGCCGTACATTTCACTATGCAAAAGTTTTGAGCTTAAGAACAAAAGTGTAGGTTTTTAGTTGGAATATATATGTAGTTGTTTCTTTGTAATATCAACATGTTAGAATGAATAGGCAACCAGATGTATGCCTGGAGAGGAGAGGCTTCATGTTTTGCACTAATTTGTTATTTGGGTTTAACATAATTATAAGAAATGTGATTGAGATATTCAAAATTGTTAGGAGTTTGAAGCCTTTCTAAGGCTATTTGAAGGCTTGTATTGATGATCTCAGTGGGCTAAGTAACTTTTTTATCATCTGGCATTTTTTATGTTCTGTAATTTTTTTTGCTTTTCTGAAATATTGATTAGAAAATCTGAATAAATGAAAAATATTTCAGTAAGTTTTTTCTCAATGAGCAGTCATTAGTGGTATTATCATGTATATGAAATATACAGTTTGTGGTATTGAACATTTTTTCAGTAAGTTTTTTCTTAATGAGCAGTCATCAGTGGTATTATCATGTATGTGAAATATACAGTTTGTGGTATTGAACATTTTTTCTTAATGAGCAGTCATCAGTGGTATTATCGTGTATATGAAATATACAGTTTGTGGTATTGAACATTTTTTTTAACATTAAGTGGTGGTGACAATTTAAAACAAAATCTGCCCTGAATAATATTTACAAGGTAATACAATTTTTCATATTAAGTTGTTAGGTTTAGTTGGTTAGGAAGCCCAAGATAGGACATTAATATCGCTATATGAGTTATTGTACATCAAAAGCTGTCACTTGTTAGTGGGTTATTGTATTATTGTTCATAAATTCAAAAGCACAAACAGTATATTTCTCTAAATGTATTTCATTTCCTTATAATGCCTAGAAAAAAATGCTTTGTTTCCAGTTACACAACTAACCTCACATAACAATTTTTGACCCTAAAGTATCTTCAACACTCCCTCCCTCAAACAAGAGAAATTCATCTCTTGACCGACCCTAGTGAAAAACACCCTTCAATTAATTGTTTTTATTTTCATTAAATTATTGCACCAATTTGCTACCATATTGTGCAAGGTGAAGGTTATAAGAAACCGAGTCCTTGATTCATTAATTGGTGTGATATGTTAATGCTCTCAGTCAATTATCTCTTTCAACACGGGTTCAGTGAAATTGACCAATCACGTGACCACTTTGTACTTGTTATAGTTGGAATACTACTAACTTTTAATATAGTATATGTATCTTCACAAAATTTGACAGACTTTCAGTATTACACTTTGTACCTTTAGTGAAGTATTTTTACTGAAGATTTATCCATGAATATATCAAGTCCTTTTTTTTTACCAGTCCAAGTGCAAAGTGATTTTCATGTTAAAATTAAAAATACTTTTCTTTATCTGAAAAATCACAAATTTCATTTGCATAATGTCTAAAACCTCCTAAATACATTTCAAACTTTTTATTTTATAAAAAAATATATTTTGTCTGTTATTTTTTCCACCCTAATTCTATACAAGGTTGGTCAAATCGACCGACCTCGTTAACCACCAAAAAAAAAAATGTAAATAAATCTAAATTACCCTTTTTTCTTTCTGGAATGACTTCAAATTGTAACATGAAACTACATTTCTTTATCCTAAATAGCTTTAAACTCGTAACAGTATACATCTATTTATACATACATTTTATTGTTTTATTGCTTTTTAAGCCCTGTCTAACTACTATTCATGCCTTTATAAGTTGTAAATTTTATTGTTTTATTGCTTTTTTAAACCCTGTCTAACTACTATTCATACCATTATAAGTTGTAAATCACTTGGGGAATGTGTGGCTCATGTTACACTATTGAATTACATTACCCACAGGCTACCTCAAGCTGTCGCGTGCGTGCCTTGTGAAAAATTATATTATTACTTATTTTACCTAATCTAACCTTAACTAACTTAAAGAGTTTCTTATTTTTACATTTTAGTTTTGTAGTGACCATATGTCTAAATAATACTTTTTCTGATAGTGCTTAGCATCTAGTACAATCTTGTTTATTACAGTTGCATTTATATCATAAAATATGTATCTGCCTACCTACCCTATTTTTTTAAGCATGTAATAGGAAACAAAGCTATTTTTTTTTCCAGGCCTAACATGATTTTGTTTCAAATATGTTGGACTGGAATCTATTCTTTAAGTTTTCTTGTGTATCACCTCAGGTACAAAATTTAAAAAAAAAAGATAAATAACACCAACTACCACAGTTCTTGACTTTCTCCGTCTCTCTTAATCACTGATTCTGTTTTATATTTTTTTGAAAGTAATTAAAAATGCAGTAGATGAGAACAGTGATCAACACACTGGAAGAAAAACCTGGAAAATAATAACCTAGTTGATTAACTTGTGTTGTTAAAGTGTTGTTGTGGATTATTTGACATAACTTAGAAATGCACATGAAAGGCTTAGAAGAAATGGAAGAGAACTTGATTTAGGTGTACAAGGTTGGCAGAGTCTTAGATAATATGTTTGTGGGCTGCTTTTTTAATGGAGAAGCAAGAAGTTTAGAAATACACGTGTTAGGAATAATAAGTTTAAGTTTTAGAAGTTTAAATCCAGAATTCTTAATTAGCAAAATTATTTTCCTGTTAGTCACAAACTTGAATTCAGCTTTTAATTGAAGCTATGATAAATGGTAAGATGACCACTGTGAGCATTCTGTCATCTTGATTTTTCTTAGTTTATTGTTTTAGACAGTCACATCTCATTTTGCTGGGTAAATTTCAATTACCCTATATTTTTTACTTTAAAAATTGTTTCTGATTTATTTAAAATGAGTGAAAATGTAAGTTGCACACAATCATAAAACCTGTATCGTGTACTGTTTAGAACTGTTGATTGTAAGAGATGGTACTTCTTTTATAAAATATGCACGGTTTGCTTCTATTATTCCTTATTTGTAAAATAATGTGTATATTATCTTAAACACAGAAATCCAATGGTACTTGTCTAATAAAATATGCACAGTTTGCCTCTATTATTCCGTATTTGTAAAATAATGTGTATATTATCTTAAACACAGAAATCCAAAGCTTGTTAGTTATTTCATCGTACACTTCACAATACAGTAGTAAATCAGTATGTGTGTGTGTTCTGAGCTATAACTTACAATTAATGCTTTCTCATCAATACAAACATTATTAAGCAGAACTATTAAGCACCACACTTCTTGAATACATGAAAGGACTGTGAACTGCAGTGACTCTTTCAGAAGTGTTTTATTTGCTCAGTGTTTTTTCTTTACTCCTTCTTCGGGAACATATTTTCTATAATGAACTCTATAATTCAGATTAAGAATGTTGTATTCTAAGTATTAAACTGCATACAAGACTATTATCTTGATGGCAATCATTCCTATTGTTACAAAGTCTGTGGCACTTAAGTAAACAATGTGATATAAATGTTATTGTTATATAAAGAAAAAAATACTTTACATGCTAAAAGGATTGTCTGTACGAGAAAGTTAAATAAACTGAGTAAGTTACATTTGTCATGTAAAAGTAAAATTAGAAGGGTGATTCATTATATTTGTTCATTCTTGGTATATATATATATCTTACTATAAATATTATTGTTGGACAAAGAATATCTTGCACAGTAAAAGGAAGCTTATATGGGATGTTTAATAAAATTAAACAAACTGAGTAAGTAATGTTAAAGTTATTATCTACAAGAAAATTAGTTAAGTTTAAGAGATCAACCATTCATTGTTTTTATTTGGTTTATATTTTTCTGTAAGAAGTGATTCCTTACTTTTCTGATATAGGAAATCATTGGATTTTGTGAGAATTTTAGAAGTTATTGGAGCAATATCTTTGGTATATAATAATTTAAGATATAGTGTTTATTCACTACACTTTTCTCCACCTATGCTTTTTGTCTGGAAAGTGTTTGTTGATATATTCAAAGAAGGGTCTCCCAGTTTTTCCAATATATGTGTGACCTTATATTCTAACTACAACAAACAGAACAAATAAAACAATGTATCTGTGCTCATGGTCATTTCATTTATACTTCAGTCAGCATTACATACTTTAAAAAATGCTTTTCTTGTGTTATCCTGTTTCTGGCATTTTGATACGTAAAAATCCAAGGCAGATGTTGCTCTATTGCAACTATTAATTGTTTGTATTAACTTATCCAGTTATTTGCAGTGGAATACTTAATCCTCCAAACATTTTTATTAAGTTTAAAATCGTACATTCTTATCATATGCTTGTGTATTTCAAGACAGCATTTTATATATATATTGTTTTTTTACAAGCAGACTGCATGTAAATATGGATATTAGAAGTACCTTTTTTCCGACAAGGTATCTTACTTCCACTCACATACATAGCTATTCTCAGTCAGTGCTGCACTCTGTTTACTTTTTTTTTTGCATGTCACAAGCCTTTCCCTCCCACATAACCCTTGATTCATATGGTTTAACTGAATCTTGCATGTAAATTATCATGTAACAAACCACCACCAATAGACGTACCCCACACACGTGACTCATGTGACTACTTCTCGTGTTTGAACCTTTTATTTAGTGCTCACACACGTGACTCATGTGACTACTTCTCGTGTTTGGACCTTTTATTTAGTGCTCACACACGTGACTCGTGACTACTTCTTGTGTTTGGACGTTTTATTTAGTGCTCACACACGTGACTCATGTGACTACTTCTCGTGTTTGGATGTTTTATTTAGTGCTCACACACGTGACTCGTGACTACTTCTCGTGTTTGGATGTTTTATTTAGTGCTCACACACGTGACTCATGTGACTACTTCTCGTGTTTGGACGTTTTATTTAGTGCTCTCTATCTTGCATGTAAATTATCATGTAACAAACCACCACCAATAGACGTACCCCACACACGTGACTCATGTGACTACTTCTCGTGTTTGGACGTTTTATTTAGTGCTCACACACGTGACTCATGTGACTACTTCTCGTGTTTGGACCTTTTATTTAGTGCTCACACACGTGACTCATGTGACTACTTCTCGTGTTTGGATGTTTTATTTAGTGCTCACACACATGACTCATGTGACTACTTCTCGTGTTTGGACCTTTTATTTAGTGCTCTCTTCGGATTTTGAATTTTGGTATCAATTAATTTTCAAGTTTCCTACTTATTTTAAATAGTTGTTACTTGTATCTCATTCAGTCATGATATTATTTAATTTTCTACCCAGTTAAGAAACTTTTGATTTATTTGCTTTATGAATTCTGAATTGCAAGTTACTATGTCGGAGGTTGTACCTTCTACCAGCACATTTACTTAGGCTTCAGGTGGGGGGAATTCAACCTTGAAATTATTGGCCATTAAGAGTTGAGAGATTTTTTTGATCGTTATTTGAACCAACCTTCTTCTCCTGATGTTGCCCAACTTCCTCCTGAACAAGCAGAACCTGTTCGGGATGACAAAGCATTTGACATCCTTTTTCCTCCACCAAAATTTGCAGTGTTATCCCAAGTTCCTACTGTGGGTTCTTTTAGGCCTAATATGGCTTTTTTTTTGGACATAATTTCCCAGGTATATTCTATTTTATCCCTCTTCCCTTTTACTATAATCCTCTACCTTCCTTGTTACATGATACTCCTTCCTCTCAGTATTTTGTTTTTCCACCATTTCCATATATTGGGGTTCATGCTGGGAGTGAAAGGCTTGTGGCATGCAGAAAAAAAACTTGCAACTAGATGGAGCACCAAACAAGAATAGCTGTGTATGTGAGTGGAAGGAAGTACCTGTTGGAAATATATTTTCAGTGTAGAAAAATGATTACATATCTGTCTCATTGATGTTAATTTAAATATTCAGGTGGAGCAAGGATTTTTGTCTTCAGTTTGAAATTAAACATACAATGTAATAGCATGTTAAACATTATTTTCAAGTTTGTATAAGCGACTCTGCATTCTATATTTGTGATGAGAAGTTTTAATAACTCCACTACAACTGATAAATAATTCACATACTTTCCAGCACTGGCTCGATACAGGACGGTCTATCCTGAAACAAGTAAAAGGTGAGCTGTACTGGGTCAGAAGTCTTTGTTTGTGTGTTTTTGTCAAATGCATGCAAGTTCAAAATACTGATTTTTTCAACCATTTGTTTCTTTAAAATGAAGTATCTGATAAGTTTTCCAGTTACCTTTGTGGTATTAATAAAGAGTGCAGTTTTTGTAGTAGTTGTTTTAGTCTAAGATGTAATCAGTTTTCCATGTACAAGTATTGATTCTGGAATGAATGGTAATAAAAATTCTTTCCAGGATAGTACCATCATTTAATTATTATCTTTAGAATACTTTAAAGCTTAGGGGAAAAAAAAAAGTGGGAGGAAGGTGACCCACTATGCTTTTCCCCATATCCAAAAGATTTAAAGATATCAGTGCATTTAGAAGTTAATACTTCACAGTTTTATTGTAAATATTCACAACTCTGTATAACAAACAGTGTAACATTAACAAGAAGCTTGATGGTATCATCAGCAGTTTATGAAACTGTTTTGTGTAGTGATATAAATAATAATGCATTATTGTTCTTTGTATTACTTCAAACAGTCTAGCACTAATATCTTTAATTAGCAACAGTCTAGCACTAATATCTTTTATTAGCAAGAGTTTAGCACTAATATCTTTTATTAGCAAGAGTTTAGCACTAATATCTTTTATTAGAACAGTCTAGCAACTAATATCTTTTATTAGCAACAGTCTAGCACTAATATCTTTTATTAGAAACAGTCTAGCACTAATATCTTTTATTAGCAACAGTCTAGCACTAATATCTTTTATTAGAAACAGTCTAGCACTAATATCTTTTATTAGCAACAGTCTAGCACTA